TATAAATGAGACATCCATTTTAATGTTTAATAGCACTGATTTTATGAGTTTCGGTTTTTTCATATTTATATTCCACACAAAAATATGGCTTTTAATTTCCGTTATCTTCAATTCAATTGACTGCGCTGACTTCCTTCATTAGAGGAAGTCTTGTACAATATTAAAGCAATTTATGAAAAAAAAAAAAAATTCTCTTAATAAAATATATAATATATATATATATATATATATATATATATATATTTGTATAAAACTACACAAACTGCAAAATGCTTAGATTAGAAATATTTTAAAAGAACTGCCAAACAAAATAATGGTTTTGAGACATAGATTTGGAAGAGTGGAATACATTGCCGCTTACATTGTGGAACATAATAACAACGAGTTGGCGTTATCGATGCTTATAAATACGAAGAGCATAACGCATGTGGTCTCTTTTACCAGAAAGCATCAACGACCAGCATCAATGAGTAACAACAACGTGCAGCACCTACGAAACACAAAATGTTTTATCATATTCGGGCATCTAGCATCGTCATAAAAAACTTTCCATTAGCTATATTCAAAAAATAATAAAGAAATACTTATATACGAAAAAAATATATTAGAAATTCTACAAAAACTATGTGAGGGAATATATGTGAATAATTGTTTTCTACCAGTATATAAACATTTATTAATTGTGAACATACCCATTCCGAGCTCTCTTCATATAAGAACATAGTTTCCGCGAAAATAATATTAGTGCTAAAGAGAAGTGAAACTCACTTCTTTTGAAAAAAACCCGCAAATCCAAAAAGATGTCCCAAGCGTACATATTAATGAATCGAGTAAAGTATAAGAATAGTATTGGACATATGTACATAATTTAATTTTGAGTGTGACTTGGTATGCAAAAGCTAATACGGGTAAACTAAGACTTTTGTAGAAATTATGGTGCATGAAAAAACATGACATTTAAATAAAAAAAATTTTAAATAAATATAATAACAAAAAAATTTTTTGTGTACAAATATTATCCCTTGGTAAACACACATCTTATAATGTAAATATATACATGTTCAACTGAAAAGAATTTGCTGTGCCAAAATTCTTCATCACCTCCAACCGCTATTCAGAAATGAAAATTTCAATGCTAAGAACACGAAGCTGATATGTAAGCAAATAATTTGTCCGTCACTTCTATATGGATGTATAGTGTTTGGGAAAGCTTCAAGCACTACTATTCGCCAGCTAGAAATTGCACAAAGCCAAGCTCTGAGAAATTTTTTCAAGGTACCATGATACATTAGGACGAATGACATCCTCTGGGACGTCAAGATTGATCCGATCAAAAAATACATAAAGAATAGAGCCATAAAATTATTTGCGAAAACTATTTGCGTTATAGAATCTCAGAATGGTTACAGGCTCATCGGGAAGGTATGCAGATCTCAGGTCAATTATTGCTTAGTCTGATGAAGTGATAAACAATAAGCCAGTCAAGGCGTAAAGAGGGATACTTCGAGTACACCTTTCGAGATACCTCGAGTTAACTGCTGCTGCTGTTCGTTTACCACTATTTCTAACTGCTTTTACAACATGTTTTTAACTGCTTCCGTTCCACGTTTTGTAAGAAGTTCGTTTAGTAAGAAGCTCGTACAGTGAGAAGCGCGTTCAGTAAGAAGCTCGTTCAGTGATAACTTACAACCCATTTTCTGTTGAATGTAGTTTTGTCAAATTAATGCCAACAAAACCAAAGCAATAGCATATGCATTAAATATATAGCAATACGATCATAGCAACAGCAGAGAAAACCCATGCGCAAGCAAATACATGGAGAACATATCAAAAATACTACAACAACAACAAGAAAATCAACGCACAACCGAATACATGGAGCAAGCGCATAGGAACGCTATTCGCAGACAACAGGATAATATTGTAGGCAATAATAAAGCAGAGGAGCTTCGCACCGTATACATAACAATTGTAACTGAAGTCCCGTTATGAAAAAAGGGTATAAACGGAGATGGAAAATTTAACAAGTCACTTAGTCACTTGGTCGCAACACTTAGAACAGTGCTCATCGTAGTAAGTGCATAGATACTTGGTTGCAGTACTCACAGCAGGTAACATCGGCACAGCGCAGCAACAGGATGCTTCGAAATCTTCGTAAGAACATTGAACAAGGTAATTAAATAAATTTCCTAACCTAACAACGTGGCCGAGTCGATAACGTTGATCTCATAACCCAACAACGTGGCCCAGTCAGTAACGTTGATCTCTTAATCCACAACGTGGCCCAGTCGGTAACGTTGACCTCATAATCCAACAACGTGGCCCAGTCGGTAACATTGATATCTTAACGCAACAATGTGGCCCAGTCGGTAACGTTCATCTCTTAATCCAACAATGTGGCCCAGTCAGTAACGTTAATTAATTTCCTAATGCACCAAACGTTTTTCTAATTTCAGTCATTTTTAATATTTGTAATATTATTGTAATTCACTTTGTAAGTTAATAAGTCATAATTATATTGTAAGAATAAAAATGTCTTTAAAATTTATATTACGAGCTGATTCAGGATTTCAAAGAAATAAATATAACAAATAATAATCATTTTACGATAGTAATGATGGGTATTGCAGTTTAGCGTATCTAGACCTTAAAAACTTTTGGTGAGCTTCCTGGCTTGATTGATGTCTTACATTACCTTAGTAGAGTACTATACATACCTATTCAATTCACTGATTCTAGATTTTTCTCTTTTAAATATATCATTCAAATTGCTTATGTTCAGAAATATGTGGTTTGATAACTCAAACGGATCAGTTTGACAATCTGGAGTCGACTGTGTGTTTGCTTTTTTAAATTGAATTATCCGTCGTTATCCGCCAGCTTTTGTGCTTGAACTTTTGTATGCTTGCAATTAGTGATTAATAAATATCAAATTGACGTATTTTGTATTTAATCTACTTTATTTTATTATCGTTTGATTAATATAAATCAAAATAGTTTTGTCACTGAACTTAATACTTTATTGATTCTATAGCAAAGATTTTATCACATTACGTCATAAGCAAATTATTTTCAAAATCGTAGAGTGTATTCTATTCCACAGTGGCTCTAACTTTGTAGATACTGCACTTATGAATTATATATACCTTGTGATCAAAAAAGAACTTATTTGTTGAATTCCCGCGCTTATCCAATCGGTAAATTTTTTTTCATTTTCACGCTGGCAACACTATTATACACATTCTATCAAAGTTTAACGCATATCGTACGATTACTTTTTGTTTGGCGTCTATACAAAGAACTAGGAAAATTTTGTGAGTCGATTTTTAGCTGAATTTCAAGCAGGTAGTGACCCCACATTCATTGAACGCATCAAACCTGGTGATGTGACATGGGTCTATGAATTTGAAATGCCCACCAAACAATAATCGATCGAATGTTGCTTTGAAGGTGAGCCGAAACCAAAAAGAAAATGCCAAAGTCGGTCCAAAATCCAGTTTATGCTGACTGTTTTCTTCGATGTTCGTGGTATGGTTCACAATGAATTCCTTCCGGAGGCCATTCGCAAAATATGCCAGACTTATGGAAGGAAAACTCATGGAATTTACACCACGATAGCGCACCGGCTCACACACCGGTTGTGTCGCAGTTTTTTGTCAAAAACTCCACCAATATCATCAACCAAACACCGGACTCTCCAGATATGGTCCCGTGTGACTTTTTCCTCTTCCCCCGACTCAAAATGTCGTTGCGAGGAACGCGTTTTGAGACCATAGAATTCGCTGCGTGAACTAAAGGCCATACCTTCGGCGGCCTATAAAACTTGTATGGAAAACTTGATTAAGCGTTGGCATGCATGTATTGCCGCAGGAGGAGAGTACTTTGAAGGCGATATTAAAGAAAATTATTTAAAATTAAAATTTTGCGTTTTTTTTTAACTTCTCGTTCTTTTTTGATGAAACGGTATAAGTGCTTTTTTCTTTTCTGTACATATGTACATAAAACGTAGAGATATTTTTCTCACTTGAAGAAATGAAAACAACATATTTACAAAAAAGAAAATATTGAGACTCTTGGCATTGTAAAGCTTTCTACAATTCTTTACAATTTGACCTTTTGGTGCGTTATTTTCAACCGCTTTAGTTTATTCACATATCAGAAAGCTTTATTACAATTATTTGACAGTTGTCTTAATATCATGAAATCGAATAAAATGGAATTGACTTATAAAAACTGTGATTTAAAATAGCCGAGCAACACCACTCATTTTATGTAAAACTTCAATAGGATCATTTCCTGGGTCAATGATATACTTATAGCAGAAGCATTCATTCACAATGTCATTGTCTATTTAACTTAATGCGGCACTGTTAGAATGCATGATAACCTCATTCGTCCTTTTTGGTGAAGAAGGAATTACTCACTAATTGCTTGGCATATAAATTTTCACCAACAAATATTTATTTATTTATTGTGTGAACTGTGAATGTTTTGAAAACTACAACCCCTTAAATCAAGTTCTGAAGCAATTGTAGTTTATCTAAAGAAATTATGTGGCCTATAGAACATAACTTCTTTAGATAAACTACAATTGCTTCAGAACTTCATTTAAGGGGTTGTACGCTCTTAGTGAAGCAAAATCTTTCTTCTATAATGCCTTCACTCTTTTATTCTTAAATAATTTTAGTTATAATATTGTATGCTACTTTTTATGGTTACTAAAGAGTTATAGACTATTCAGCGCCTATGCGATGATATCAACGTAAGTACAAATAAAGTAAGTTTTAATGAAAACTATGCACATATAAGTTTTTGCGAGTCATTATTCAAAAATAATGCGGTTCTTTTGCCTGTGATAGTGCTCAACTCAGATAAAAACTCGCTCGTTCTCTTATATGTTTTAGATAAACTCCCACTCAATCCACATAAAAGCACTCAATAGAACACAATATATATAGAATATTTATTTGAAATTAATTAGTAATTCAGTATCGCTTGGATAAGTATTAACTTATTTTGCTATTCATTCCGCTTTGTTCCTGAAATTGCCGCTAAATTAAAAAAGAGTTCAAAAAAATGTCGGCAACAGAAAACTTTAACGACGACGAACTCGTAGCCCCGGAATGGTTAAATAACGATTTTCTAAAAAAAGTGATAGAAAATTATGAAAAAACTAAGAACGTGGAAGTATTCAATTTTAAACTCACTCCTGGCACTGCAAAGGGCGACCATTATGGTAGTGTTATGTTCAGGGCTAATGTGGACTACACGGTACAAGGTTCACAGAAAGCAAAATCATTGATAATAAAAACGACACCTGAACTTGAAGGACACAAAATGGAATTTCTACGAGAGACACATGTTTTTGAAACTGAAATTAAAATTTATACGGAAATTTTACCAAAATTTGAAAGTATTTTGCGCTCTATTGGAGATAACACAAATATCGGACCTAAGTAAGTTTCAATAAATTATTTTTAAGTAATATAATTGTTTAAAGTGCTATAGAAAAATAATAAAGTGCTTGTTTATTTTCCATATAAATATATACAATTGCAGTAATGCAGATCAACAACAGCATATTTATTAGGGTGTGTATAATTGTGGCATTGATTTCTTTAATCACAGGACCCTAATAACACTGTCTGGATTGTTCATTAAAAAATAATAGACCTTCCAAACAATATCAACAGATTTCTTATTTAAGAATATATTTTTAGATGCTTGTATTATAGTCTGCATCCAAAAACGTGTATAGTCTTTGAAGATCTCATGCCACTAGGATATACTGTACAACGCGATCGTGAGCTTAACATGGAGGAACTAACAGAAGTCATGCGAAAATTAGCAGTGTTCCACTCGATGAGTTACTATCTGAATATAAAGGCATGTCTGAAGTATATGTCTGCAATAACACACAAAATTAATAATAATATTTTAGGAACCAATCCTATTTGACAATATAAAATATGGTATGATGAATGATCCTGCAATGAGCCAAAATGATTTTGTAAAAGACGGAATAAAAATGTTCTTGGAAGTACTTAATGACGTACCAACACTAAGTGAATATAAGCCATACTTTGAAGCACTTCAAAAAAATATGTTAGAAAAATGTCGTCAGATATTTGATGAGTATCGTGAAAATCCACAAAAGGATGGCATATATGTACTTTGCCATGGAGACTTTCACAATAGAAATATGATGTTCAAAAATAATCCCACCAGCAAAAAACTTGAAGACATACTCTTTCTAGATTTTCAGCTTTGTTATATTGGACCCATAGTAAATGACTTGTATTATGCATATTATGTGATGTGTTCAAGAGAGCTACGGTTGGAGAAGTTCGACGAACTACTTTATCTGTACCACTGCCATTTCAAGACAATCCTAAACAAAATTGGGTTTGATGGCGTTGTGCCTAAATTGAGTGAAATCAGAGCAATGTTTCTCAGATACAAATATTTTGGTATGTACTCTTTTTCTCAAATTTTTGACTTTTCCTGATAATCCAATTTGCTTTCAGAATTATTTTTGGTGTCCAGCTTTTTAGCGATGCGTTACCAACATCTTAATAAAGATGTAGATATTGAGAGAACGTTGTTCTCAAGAGATTATCGCAAGTCGTTTTTCATGAAAAAAGAATTTTTGGATGACCTTCATATATATTTACGAAAATACTTACACAATGGATATTTCGAAGATTTGGAGTAAATTGTTTACGTATATTGTATGTTGTATATAAAATAATTGAGCATTTATACAAACCGACAGTTCTTAATAAAAAATTAAATTCAGTTGTTTAATTGAAAACCAAGCTTAATGAAAAAATCTGCAAGATATAGGTTTTGGCTATCTAGCGAATTATCTGTAGAGTCCACCTATAAACTTTTCGTTAGCGATTACAATTGCTGATTGCTGATATATAGTTGTTAAGCCGCAATCGAATTGGGCTTAACTGTTTGCAGTTAGTGAAAATGGTTCTAACCGCTTTACCTATTCATCTTAAGACACGTTGTGTCTTTGTGACAGAGATTACATTGGTGCGTTCTTCTAGGTTGACTTGTTCGATTACAAAAAAGCTGAAGTTTAAGACTTAAATATTATCTTTTTGATTTTTCTTTAAGCTTATATAAGAAAATATCAGAAAACTAAAATCTTTTTTTTATAAGATTAGGATGTTTGTAGGCTCCCTAGCCAGTTTAACCTATCCTCAGTAACTTTATTTACTCATCAGCCAGGAAAATTTAAATTAAGATTACGCGATAAACTATAAGATTGGCGTCAAAACGCCGGGCTGTTTAATCAAAGTCTTGGGATCAGAACTCCAGAGTAAATTAACTTAAATATAGGCTTATGAGGTGACTAATAAGTTGATGGTAGAACGCTGAAACTACGTGCCTAGTAGACAACTGATTAGCATACAATAATGGCCCTCTTTTTATATGAATTTCCATAGTTGTGTATGTATATGCAATTTCTGACGTCACTTGAAATGTGTGTTGTCTCTCTTTTGTTATTATCTCTGCATACTAGCTTTATATGCAGCTTTAGCTCTGTTTCTGTTTGTGATCTTTTGAGTTGCTGGCACTCTTCTGACTGGTGTGTGCCGAATTGCTAATGATTGTTTTGAGAGCCGCTCAAAAAATTTTATGTAAGAGAATCAAAACTATGAGAATCTTTGAAGAGGATATTTTGCTGATGTATTTTATGAATGGACCGTTCATCAAATTCGCAATATTGGTTTAAAAGTTCCCTACTGTCGGTATGAAATGTAAAGGGTGACAATAATCTTAGATAATGGTTTTGGATAATCCATTTTGTGAAATTTTCTTAAAATTTTAATTTTAATTAATTATTTGAAAATTAGCTAAATTTTACACATTTCTTTATTATTATCAATATTTGATTTGTCAGTTAATTTAATATATATTAGAGGGTTTTCTAAAGTACCTCGGTTCATATAGTCAAATACACATTGGTAAACGCAAACATAGTCGTGTTTCCGACACATGCGGCACTTAGATTGCTTAAAGTACCCACCAGAAAAATTGCATTTGCCGATATTAATAAAAATATAATAAAAAATGGCGTTGCGCCACTTGAGTAAAATTGGATTATTAGAACAAACATTTTACCAATTTTTCATTATGACTTCATTTTAGTAATATATATTATTGTACAGTAAATAAACAAATATAATGATATTGATGATTTGTATATAAGTGATCCAAATCTATTGAAAATCATGAAAAAAATATTGGCAAATTTTTGTAAATCATGGACTAATGAGTTTTGGCGGTAAATTTTTGTGGGATCCAAGAGTTCGTTAAGAAATTGTTAGGAATTTAGTAGAAAACTAAATTTCGATTAATCATGAAATAAGAGATATAAAATTATAAGTTTGTCTGCGGTTTGGGCTAATCATAATATTAGAGTATTCATTTTAAAATAAATAAATTTTTCAATATACTAGATATAAAAAAATATTTTTTACTCAATAATTATATTTTATACAATTGAATTATATAATTATTATATATTACATATAGTACATTAAATTAATATTAAATTAATATTGAATATATAGAAGACTTTTTGCGTTATACGCATACAAAACCCATCCACATACCCCAAGAAAGAAAAGTACAAAAACAAAGTGCATTCAAAGTCCATTTGAAAAAGTACTAACTCATTTAACCTTGCATTTTAAAGACGTTCAGTAAGTGTGCTGCAAAAATTAAGTAGAGTAGAAAGAATATTGCAGTAATTTGTCTATCCACAAAGTTTTAAAAAGCACTTCTTTCTTTTGAAATTTGCTGACAATATTTGGTTAGTGACAATATCCAGTATTAGAAGTGGAAGATTGTTTTATGAAGGAAGATTTAGTAAAGTGTGATTTGGTAATTTATTTATTTAACAATGTTTGCAGAAACAAAAACAATTTTACTTGCCAAAAATCTTTGATTCATTTAGAACATCTGCTGGGTTTATAGATTATGAAGTGAACTTTAAAAACTTGGACTAGTTATATTAAAAATAAAATCATATTAGCCCTAATCAAAAACAATAAAAAAGCAAAACAATACTCGCATGTTAGGTTTTACTTGCAAAAATTTTAAGTCTTGAGCCAAATTCAGAAATTAGTCTATTGTAGAGTTTACTGGAAATATGTTGAAAAATTCCAGTCATCCGTTAAAACCAAATTCATTTTGTTTTTTGTATTTATTTCTTATTTGTTTACAGCACAACAGAAAACATATGTCAAAAAAAGCATTAAACAAATTTTAAAAGTAAGGCAAATTTTTTTCAACCAGACTTAATGCTGTTTTTTTTATTCCTCTGAAAGAAAAAATTACGGCTATTATTAATGTGCTAAAAAATTATGATTTCGCTGCATAGCCGACTTTACTGCTGGGTACTTTAAAAATATTTTATTACAAACCGAAGAGTAGCAAACACTTAAGTGGAAGCACAAGCTTATATGAAAAGTGCGGAACGAAGTGAAAAGAGATAATTTTCAAGAGCTTTTTATGTAATTAATAATTAACTTTAACATGACTTTCCAAATTCAATATCTACAAAATTTGTATTTCAACTAAAAACTATTATTTTAATTCACAGTGCATGACGAAGTACAATTTTACTTGATAAAAATAATTGTTTGTTTATAAAAAATTATTTGAAGCGAAAATTAAAATAATTAACTACATAACATCAAAGGTTAGGTTCACAAATTACTATATAATTTTTAGATGTGATTTTTTGACTAAATTGTGGCCATTAATTAAATTTAAAACTTTATTAAATACGTATATACTACATAATATTTTATAAAAATTAATATATAATAAATTATTATTTTTGTTGTTGTTATTCATATGTTTACAATTTAAATTCTATGTATTATTAAAAGAATTAATTATAAAAAGATGTTGGAAAAAAACAACCGAAACATTGGATTAAAAAATAAAGTAAAATATGTTTTATTTTCATCTTATTTAAAAGACTAGACTAGCCTAAGCAAAAATTATAATTAAATATATAATAATTTTTATTATAAATATATAATAATTTTTAATAGAAATTATTCATATTCATATCCATCGTTATTCAGTATTATACATTTTTTTAAGGGGCTTTACAAGACTACGCATGTAACCTATTAATATTAGGTGTTATTCGTTAAAATTTCCAATGAAGGTTCACAACAGACCACTTATACCTTTGGTAACATTATTTTATACTGTCGCTAAGATGTTTAGCTACTTTATAACTAGTCATTTAGATAGAGGAAGAAGTGTTGTGGTTTTAAGTACATATTAGCGACTTTAGGCTAGTGAATTGTTGTTTTTTGCAACACTTCGGAGCTGCCGAATACTACTGTAAGGTTACTACTTTCACTATAAAATTTGAATTCAAAAATTTTTATGAAACAGCTTATTAATACTTAAAAGAAGTATAGATTTGTCAGTTATGTCAAGTATTATATTATTATAATACTGAGACGTTACGAAAATGAGCTAATTAAAATGCAAGTCCCACTGCAATATGTGAACTTTTTTAGTGCGCACACGTTTAAAAAAAAAGGGCTTGTAATTTAAAAACGGTATGATAAAATATATGAGCATATTATCAGTAACAATAATATAAATATATTACATCCATAACTAGAAAAACGTAGCACATTGATATATAATGAAGAATTGTTTATAAAGCGAGTAATACGACACCTAAAATTAAGAATTAACCAGTTATTTTTTTCAAATGGTTTTTAAAAACCTATTTTAAAACGCAAAACTTGATAATACTTAATCCGCAATAATAGCCCAGTCTTTATGGAAATATATTAGTAATTACTAGCTAGTAACGAAAAAAAACTGCACTTTAAATTAATTGAATATATAACACAACTGTGCTTTATAACGCATATCTTTAATGTTTTACTCTAATGTTTTTATAGTAAAGGAGTATAATGCCTTTTCTCTGACCACAATCCGGCGCCCTGTGCCCAACTAGCACGATCTAAACCAATTCCCCTCATACCTGGAGACTTTGTCCTACACCGGGACTACGTAAGTATTACTTCGAGGTAGGGTTTTTATTACTCACTTAAGAATTCCATCAGTGTGATTTGCCTTGCCCTTCTTCTTGGTATGATGTATCAGCTTGCACCAGCTGTCTCTTATCGAGACCTACTATTTCAACCTCACGATTTCCTTGGTTTTCTGTCATTTTTTCTGTCACCGTCCTTTGGGAGAAAACATCAACTAGCGCTACTGGCGCTTCTTATTCGTGTAGCCGCTTATTATGCTCATAGAATTTGTGTTCTACGATATCATTCTCAAGATATGCAATTTGATGACTTCACTTTGCGCATTTGATAGAGGTAGCTATTAAAATATCCATGACGAGATAGGAGCTGAGTAAGGTATTACTTGACCTCGCCGAAATCTTTTGTTAGACAGTTTTTTTGCTTTGGGATGAGGCTTGCGGTCCATCGTCGAGTTCTATAAGCTACGTGTAACTTCGTTTATATCAAAGTTAATAAAAAAACAGGTAAAATAATCAAATTACGAATAAAATATAATAATATTTTTTTAAGTGTAGAATTCGAATATTTTATCAAATATGTTTCTTTGAGTACAACTCAGCATATTTTACTGTCTGACATAACTGGTCAACATATATATTTTTTTTATTTATTTATTTTTGTTTACTAACTGCAAGTAATCGTCAGCTGTTCGCTTATCAACAAGTTTGTGTATCTCGAATTCTAGAAGTATTTGTGAAATTGATTAAATATTCAATGTTTTAATTGGGTGTTTACGTACGAGAAGCGTGGCGCTTAGTTAAATCATATAAAATTGCTTGTCATTATAAAACAACAAGTTTAACAGCATTTTGACAGTTTTTTTTTATTTTTATTTTTTTGATAATAATATGTATTTGGAGGTTGTGATAGTGCTCAGTTCAAAGCACTCGTTAATAAAAACAAAAAAGATCTTACTATCAATTGATGGTTTTAGATAAATTCTCACTCTGTGCGATGTGAAGTGCGCATTAGAATATAAAATATATATTAAATATTTTTAAAAAATTTATTAGTATTTCGGTATCGCTCGGTCAAGCAGTTGTTCATTCCGCTTTGTTTAAAAATTGTCATTTAAATTGAAAAAAAATTTAGTCCGCGCAATGTCAGCAACAGAAAATTTTAACGACGATGAACTCGTTGCGCCTGAGTGGTTAAATAACGATTTTCTAAAAAAAGTCATAGAGAATTATGAAAAAACTAAGGACGTAGAAGTAACCAACTTTAAACTCACTCCAGGCACTGTAAAAGGCGATCACTATGCCAGTGTCATGTTCAGAGCCAATGTGGACTACAAAATAAAGGGTGTGCGGAAGTCAAAATCATTGATTATTAAAACAATGCCTGAGGTTGAAGGTCAAAAGAAGGAAATGCTAAAGGATTCACATATCTTCGAAACTGAAATAAAGGTTTATACGGAAATTTTACCTAAATTCGAGAGTGTTCTAAATTCTATTGGAGATAAAACAAAAATTGGACCTAAGTAAGTTTTATTAAGGAGTTTCTGAGCAAGTTTTGTATGCTCTTTAGAAATAGAATAATACCATTTTATAACATTCATTGTGAACACATGTAATGAGGGGATATTTGATTCAATAAACTAGTAACACTTTATGTTACTGTCAGCGATGGAATCGTATCGTAAACACCAATTCATAGCATATTGTCTGTATAATATGATAATGAGTATCATATACAATGAACAGTATTTAATCTGAACCAGATATTATCTTTCGAATTAAACAATTTTTATTTCATGACTAATTTATCAATATAACACAAAAGTTTTAATATTGTAGTGGAACCTACTTGAATACTTAAATATATTTGTTCAATTGATTATTTTATTTATTATAGCATATGGAATTGAGTTGAATAGCTTAGAACTCTGCTTTTGAAAGAATATTATTATGACTTTGCCACAAACATAATGCTACATACATAGTGAAAATTTTACATTTTAGCTTGAAATTTTATACCGCATTCACACGAGCATTCGGATTGTAATTTTCGATGCTATTTCAAATTATTCTTGATTTCAATAGCACAACAAGTTCAAATTAAGAAGATTGGTATGGGAGTTTTGTCAACTGAAAACAGAATTGAATCGTAATTTCTAAAAAATTAAGTTCATTATAACTTAGACAGTTAACTGTAGTACACTATTGTACAGTACAAACTTGTGTTATTGTGAATTGTTTTGAGGAATGAATGAAATTTTCATATAACATGAAGGAAAACTATTACATATAATATGTATATATTATATGTAAATATATGGTGAAAGTAATTATAAAGTGTGAACTTATGATAAGTCTGACAATCAAATTATAATAATCCGTCGAGTGAATCGATATTTTTGCCTTTGATTTCAGATATCAGTTTAATATATTTAAAAAATTTTCAAATATTGCAAAACTAAAATTACAATCAAAACTGTAGTGTGAATCCAATTTAATGCACATTTTTTAATTGAGAATACAATCAGCTCGAATGTGTAGAGCAAATAGAACCAGTTAATTATAAGTTTAGTAAAATTATAAAGTTTTGAATTGGTTAATAAGAGATAACGATTTTTGTTTTGTTAAAATCGAAACAAATTATAAAATTTGTTACAAGAATAATTTTTCAAAATATTTTATTAGCTCAACGTGTTATCTGTTTTACTTCGGGAAGTCCATGTAATGTAATTACGAGCTGTCTTTCATATACTTCTGATAACACTGCAATTCTATCGTTATCGATTAAATTTTGTGTGATAACAATTAATATAAGTTTTATAACAGAGTTTCTTACGGTTATTTTTACTATAAGACTACAACAAGTGTGAAAAATGACGATTACGATCTATACATGGTTAAAACTTATTAAACTAGTACTAGAAGTGACATTAGTCGTTAGTTAGTTTTTTATATTTAATTAAAAAATTTTAATTTATCCGTCCACAACTAGCCTTTGTGCCAAAACAAAATTCTATAAATATAGGGTTCTGTGATATAGTGTCGTTGCACATATAAGACAACGAATTTGTTTACATACATGTTTGATATACATAACGAAACAACACGATACATAATATATATCCTACATATAATGATACAAACCTGTGTATCAAAAATATATACGATGTACTAATATTATTACTATCAATACATCAAAGTTAATTATATAAGTTAATTTCCTAAGTATATGATTTTTTTATTGTAATCTATTATGTGTTCCTTCTAATTTCTAACAAAACTAAATGTATGTGCCAAAATACGAACTGAAATATTTATCTTCAATAGTAAACTTATTCAGGGTTAATAAAAACAGCAAATTGACTTATAGTCCTCATTTATACAATAAGTCTTGCACAATCGATAGGTAAAAATAGAATATATTATATGTATTAGAAATTGCATGGATAGATTTCTAATTTAGAAGTATTTTTTAGCTGTTTGTATTATAGTCTACATCCTAAGAAATGCATAGTTTTTGAAGATCTAGTACCACTTGGTTATACCGTACAACGAGATCGGGATCTTAACAACGACGAAATAAAAGACGTTATGCGAAAATTGGCAGTTTTCCATGCGATTAGTTACTATTTAAATAAAAAGGTTGGTTAAAAATGTTAAAATAATAGACTTCATATATATATATACATTTTTTTTTCAGGAACCAAAACTATTTGACAACTTACAATACGGTTTTATGAATGAACCGTCAATTCGAGAAAACGACTTCGTGACGGACGGCATAAATATTTTTATAGAAATTCTAAATGAAGTACCAACTCTGCGTAAATATAAACCATATTTTGAAGCACTTCAAACAGATATACTTGAAAAATGCCGTCAAACATTTGATGAGTTTCGCGAAAATCCGCAGAGTGATGGAATATATGTACTTTGTCATGGAGACTTTCATTTTAAAAATTTGATGTTCAAGCATAATCCTATAAACGAAAAAGTTGAAGATATACTCTTACTTGATTTTCAACTTTCTTACATTGGACCAATAGTTAATGATTTGTATTATTCTTTCTTTATGATGAGTTCCAGAGAGCACCGTTTACAGCAGTTTGATGAATTACTCTATTTATACCACAGTCATTTCAAGTCAATACTAAATAAAATTGATTTTGATGGGGAAGTGCCTAAGTTGAGTGAAATCAGAGCTATGTTTTTGAAACACAAACATTTCGGTATATTGTGTCTTTGCGAAATCTTTTCAACTCTTTATTAACTTAATGTTATTTCAGAACTATTTTTGCTATCGGGCTTTTTAGCGATGCGTTATGAATTTCAGAACAAAGATATCGACGTAGAAAAAATTATACTTTCCAGGGATCATCGAAAGAATCTGTATATGAATAAAGAATTTTTGGATGAACTTCATCAATTATTACCAAAATACTTACACAGTGGATATTTTGAAGATTCGATATAAGTTGAATTAGGTGTTAGTTAATTATTTAGTAAATTAGAAATAATTAATAATTAAATTGTTACTGAGTAAATAAATAAATAAATATTTATTAGAGCTGGGTTAATATTTTTTCCTCAGCGTTTTTGTCTATAGGTATGCAGTATCACTCTTTTCATTTTCGAAGCTTTATTCGATATGTGTATATGTGTATGACTCGATTTGATAAAATTGGTAATGCATTTGATGAATTATTTTTGATTGATCTATATAAAAACTTTGTTAATACATTTTACATGTATACAAGATGTTAACTTATCGGCTCGCTCGTTAGATTTTAAACGCACACGTCATATATGCAATATTTTAAAATCTATAATTTTTCAATGATAATAAATATCAGTTGCAATCGTTTGATAGTAAAATTCCACTAATTAACGTTTTATAACATTCTGCTAACTCATGTGCCCCTAATTTCTGCTATTTCTAATCAGCTGGTTGAATTTATTGCTCTTTCTTCCTTGTGAACTTGCTACTGTTTATAGTATTATTTTATTGGAATTATTTTCTTTGGTAGTAGCTACTTCTACTTCTATACTCTGTTACCCAAAATGTAATCGATAAATGACATTTGAGTATAGTTCCTGCATTTGTAGGAGATATATTTTCTTCTTATAACAAAAACTTTGTGTCAGCTAAACTATGTAATATGTTTAGATATATAAACTATATAAAGGGTTAGACGAATGAAGTGTTACTTATTCAAGCGACTATATCTTTTCTGTGTGAAATTGTTTTTATATTCATTCAAAATACAAAAATTTGTAGAAGTAATCAAAATTTCGGAATACATTCACTCTAGCTCGATGTGGCAAACTTTGGTATTGACTATGGCCTTTACACGGTTAAAAAATAAGTTGCTGGCTTCATGAATGTGATGTTCCGGTATTTACTACATTCTTGAGAAATGGCTTTCTTTAGCGCATCCATACTGGCATATGCTTTAGTCCTTACCTTGCTCTCCAATTAAGTGTGGAACATGGTTTTTTAACCATTCTGGGTTTACACGAACTTTATGAGACGAGTTTTGTTTGTGTGTACACCCGATAATAAATCGCTTTGACTTTAACAACAGGCTCGATGAAAACGATTGGAGAGCGTCCATCGGCGGTCACAGCTGTCGATACGATTACTTACGTCTTGAGGCCATTTGTAGTCTCAAATTTTTGGCAGTGCATTCAGTTAACACGATCATTTTGAGAGTTTATAAACTCTTCAATGTGGAAATTTTTCTCATCAGAGAACACAATGTTTGGAAATTCGCTACTTTCGCGTAAGCGTAATAACTCCTTTGCTATTTCGACTCCAACTTTTTGTTGTTTTGGTGTAAGATCTTGTGCGTTTTAGAACTTGTAAGATTTTGCCTTGAGCTAATTTTAGAGCATGCGTCGGATGTTTCGCTGAAATATTTTCAGTTCAAGTCGTTCCTTCACTTTCCAAAGCATTTCAAAGCATTACACTAACATTTTATTCACTGTGAGTTGTTTGAGCTCACTAATAATATGAAGCAATCACACTATTATGTTTGAATTTCATTTTGAAAAACTTCTGTTCTATAAAACGTAGACGCACATACTTGTGGTGGCTTGTAAATAATATAAATTGCCATCATTCGTATGAATTTCATGAAGATGGCAACATCAGGTTGTAGTTGGCAACACTTCAATCGCCTATCACTGCGATTTTAACGATTTTAACTTGGACAGTTGACTGTAGTACAGTATTGTACAGTACAAATTTGTGCTATTGTGAATAGTTTTGAGGAATAAATGAAGTCTTCATACAAATTAAAAAAATTGTTATTTATAATACGAATGTATCATATGTGGAAAGTAATTATATTGTAGAAGTAGTTAAGTGTGTGCATATGATAAATCGATTAATTAAATTACAATGTTACGTCCTGTGAATAGATATTTTTGCGTTCTGATTTCAGATGTCAAAATTTTTGACAGCTTAAATTACAATCAAAACCCTTGTGTGAATATAGTATTAATAAGATTACGCAATACGTATTGAAGTGTTTTATTACTGTTTAATTTTTTCAACTAATATAAAAAATAATTTTAAATGTTCGGTATCATGTCGTGTTTTTTATATATAATAATCTGAATATATTTGATGCTCAATTTTCATTTGGAAACCGCAGCTTCTTCAAATACGGTCTTATTCACTGAAGAACAAAATATTTGCGTATTGTCTCTATATTATATATTTCAATAAATACAGTGAAAAATATTTACTTTTCAGACCAAATATCATGGAATAAGGAAAAAGTACCATTTTTATGCATTCGAAAGATATTTAGTCTGCTTTTATATTTAAGTAGATATAAACAGCTGTCTTATTATGACATGAAAATATTTTCACAAGTAAAATTTTGGGAATATATTTTATCATTATTATATATCCATACATCATTGCGATCAATATATCCTTAGTCTATGTTGTGTAGTATCTTGTTGTTTTCAATAAAGTATATCACAATAGTTTCGACTTTCAAAAAAATCCAGAAAGAAGATTAGAAAAAGTATTGTTCTTGTTTGTCCATTCACTTAATATCAAAAAACTCTACTCCGTCTTGGACTTCCCTCGTATAAAATAATAAGTTTGATTGTTTATATGATTATACTGATATGTCTTTCGCAGTGATGGTAACTTTTCAGAGTTCATAAATTTTCTAATTGAGGCAAAATATAACATAGAAATATATGTTTTTTGCTATGATACTAATATTAGTGGTTCTTCTGCTATTTACTACTATATTTGTACTGAATGTTTGGTTGGTATTCAAACTTTTGTAGGAGTGAATTTTTTCGAGTTATTCATATATGACACACGCACAAGTTAAGGAATATGTGCTGCCATTAACTGGCTTTATGCAGTCCAATATGTTGCCGTTATAGACTTATCTTTTCTATACTTTCCTATGTATTTTAAGGTGTAATATAACATTATTTGAAGCAAAACTTGAGTTGAAGTTATTTAATCTTCACTGTTAAAGATGTTTCTGAAGAGTCAACTTCATTTGGAGTGCAATCCATATGAAATAAATGTGCAAGATCAAGTTAAATTGACTAATAAATTCGATTGGATAATCAATTCATCTCTGTTTTGAAAGAAATAGTTCACTCATTGGTCAATGAATGTTGTTTTATATCAACACGAATAAAATATAATATATAAAGTACATAACGATCCTAATCGCTTAATGTAATAGAAATTCAGGATTGTAAGTTGTCAATCAAAATATACTGATCCTTTTTTAAATATTTAAAAGTATTGAATATATTTAATTATTTTTAACATAGTCTAAGAAATTTCTTTTTACTTATTGTTATCGATATTGTAAATTACTTATTGATATTTACACAAATATTCTGAAAATTTCGACCGAATTTTATTAAAAAAAATGCACTCATTAAAGGATTAAATCAGTTTTTTACCAAAATTTAAAGAAAATAGTGAAAACATTATTTCCCATTTCTGTTAAAAGTTAAGAATTGCTTGACTAATGAGTTTGTCAGGTTTCATCATAAATATGTTAAGTGAATACTGCGATGGGTTTCAGAGTTTTTCACATAAACTGCAGATACTCGAGACGTTTGGTAGTTTATTAAATTTTTAAATGCTGTCAACATCATTTTTATTTCAATGTCGTAAATTTTTCACATCTCGAATTACTAATGAAAATCTTTCCGAAACATCTGCGCTCCTTGTTAATAGCGAATGTTAACAACTCACTTAAAGAGTCAAAATATCCACAAAACAACAGAATTTTTAAAAACATTTTACGAAGGCAATTTGAGACTTAAAACAATTTTATTTTCCAGCACATGTGCGTGTAAATTAGTAAAAGTTTATGGCTTTGTCTGTGTTTCGGATACTGCGAACTGCGATACTCCGTTCTTACGTACTTACGTTGTTGCGTTGATGCGTTGTGGCGTTGTTGCGTTGTTGCGTTCCTTCGTACAAGCATAAAATCCTTCATAAAGGCGAAATATTAAATGCGCGCAAGCTTATCACCATTACAAACGAAAGGCGCCATTTTGCGTCAGTACATTTCCCTTCTAATCAGCCAGTTTACATGGGAATAATGATTTTTTAAAAGCCGGTAATGTGTACGTGACAGTACACAATGCCTTTGTGAACGAGTTTTAATTTAGTTTTTTACGAGCCTAATTTTCTATTCCACACCGAAGGCGCTAAAGTACGCGTTCCATGTGAATTATGTGTTCAGTTTGTGCTTATGGTGCATGTGACACCATCGCACAGGTACAGGTACATCCTTTGCCAACGGACAAAGGCTGATTATTGCGATGGGATGAGTGCGTTAATTTTTAAAATTAGTTAAATACTTGATGAAAGATTACTTATTCGAAAGTGTTTACGTAAATCTGAAAAATTATTACTTTACAAAATTAATAGTTTATAAAAACAGTAGAATTGTGATTTTCACTGATATTAAAGTTTCAACCATCATTTTCTAATACCTTTGTAACTTCTAATGCTGAAAATTTATATATTTTATTGGCAATAAATAAATATTTAAACCAATATTTAGATTACCACACCTGTTTCCTATGATTCAAATGTCGATGACATCTACCGATTTCTTGACTACAAATACTAGTTATACTGTTCAATAACTCGATTGTTATTGAATCTGAATTGATACTTGATCCGATTTAGTGTTGCTTATGATTAGAAATCCGGCCTTTGAACCAGTTTCTATTGTAAATATTAATATCATTTCTGAAAGAGTTAAGATACAATAACTTCACATCTCTGCGTATCACTCCTTTTTTTAAAGAAGTGCTTATATCTTTGGAAATCACTTTATAAATCACTTATGTGTAAACGAGAGGTATATTGTGAAGCAGTGCAGTTTTGGCAACAGAAGTCAAAAACGATTTCTATGGATCTTCGGTAGTTTCTTGTGCTAATGTAATGAGTGTACCGTTTCTTAGTAAAATATTAGTCTATGTTAATTAAATCTACAATTTTTGTTTGCAAAAATAATT